ACCAGGAAGGGCCAGCCACTGTGCCATGACAGCTGTAGCCTTCTCCAGGAGCTTCTCCTCTGGCACCAGCTCGTCCACGAGGCCCAGCTTGTGGGCCTCAGGTGCAGGGTGGAGGGAGCCCAGCTGGAGGGAGCGCTCAGCAATTCGGTGTCCCACAACATTCACAAACGTGTCCTTAAACCTGCAAGAGACGGGAGGGAAAGCCATGCTCAGGGGCAGCTCACCCCTGCTGTCAGCTGCTCTCATCAAGAGCTGACAGCACTCTGGTCCCACTCCTCAGGCTCAGTGCTCTGAACAGCAGCTGTGGGCTCAGTCACGATGTGAAAATGGTGTGAGAAGAGCCATTTTTGGTAGTACCCCAAGAGAGTTGTTTCCTCTGTAAAAAAGCTGCTCTTTGTACTCTCAGTGCCTGTGGGTACCCACTTGCTGTGACTGAAAGCTCCTTCCCAACAGTACATTTATTCATTCCTAGGGCAAACAAGGGCCTGGGTGTCAGTATTTAGTGTCCCTGTGCTTTCAGACATCTCCACATGATGGGGTTTTGCAGGTACACTGTGAGTATCCAGAGAAAAACCTATTCCAGACTGAGCCTGTCCCATGAGATCTCCCAGCACTAGTTCTGGAGTTAATTTCAGGGCCAGAACTGAGGTCCTTGGTGCAGGATGTGAGCACATTCTGCAGCCTGAAAGCTTTCCAGATACCTGCAGGACAGGGCAGAAATGAGGTGTCATCTCCTGCAGCTGCAAATACCTGACCCCTGACACACAAACCACACTGCTGTGACCAGCTGAACTAATTAACCCCTTGAAGATTAATTCTTTCTAGAGATCTACACATGATATTATAATAGGGAGGCACTGGCCTACCAGAAGGGAGCCACAATGCCCAGCTGGGCTTCGTTCAGGCCAATGCTGAATTTGGGGTTCTCTGCCATGATCCTGTAGTCACACGACAGGGCAATAAGGCAGCCCCCGGCCGGGCTGGACCCCTGGCAGAGAGAAGGACAGAGTGAGTCCAGGACATGGTTACAAACACCCCCCAGCCTTGCTGATCACTCCAGAGCACAGAAGACACCAGGAACACAGAGCAGATGTCCCCCAGATTGCTCACCACCTGATTCCAAACAGTCCTAAAGAAGATTTCTGATGCTTATCAGGGTTTTATAGAACCACAGGAGGGTTTGGGTTGGAAGGCACCTTAAAGCCCAATTCATTCCCAGCCCCCTGCTACAGGCAGGGACACTTTCCACTAGATCAGGTTGCTCAGAACTCCATCCAGCCTGGCCTTGGACACTTTCAGGGATGGAGCAGCCACAGCTTCTCTGGGCAACATGTTCTAGGGCCTCACCCCCCTCATAAGGAAGATTTCCCTTCCATTTGTGACCATCTTTTCCATGGCTCAGTGCTGCTCAGCCCCGCACAGGATGCCTGAGAGAAAACCCAAGTGCCTTCAGTGGGGGGCTGTGGACAGACACCACTGTGAGCTGCCAGGGCAGCACCGCCCTGGAAAATGAAAACAAGACACCAAAAAATGTAACGACCCATCCATGGACACAGAGACTCCAGCAGCACTTCCCTGCTGGCCAAGAACCCCAGCTGGAGGAGCAGAACCTGCTGGAAATGCTGAAGTGTAACCCAGCAGTGCCTGCAGCTTACACAGAGCCTGCAGCATCCCACGCTCCCATGCCTTCCCACAGAACCGACAGACACGAGTTTTGCCTGAACACCCCAACAGACACATCCCTGCATGAATTTCAGCCTGGTTTTTCAGCTGTCCCTGCCCACACAGCCCACAGCAGGTGACAATGCCACCCTGAGGAGGAGGGCCCAAAGGACGTACGTTGACTGCAGCCACTGTGACCATGTTGGAGCCGTAGAGCCGGAGCCACATCTCCTGCACGGCTCTCCAGAACTCGGTGTAGTGCTCTGTGCTCTTCCCACACATCTCCGTGATGTCCAGGCCAGAGGAGAATATTTTGGGAACAGCCTGGAATTGGGAAAAGACAGAGGTCACTGAGAGTCCCAGGGAAGGAAGGATCCTTTAGCTCTTGGCCTGGCAGTTGGAGGAAGGCAAAGTGATGAATATGTGCTATAAATCAGGGTCTTTTGGGTTCTGAAAATATCCCCCCAGTGCTCCCACTGCCTGGATTATCCCATTACCCTGGCATGCAGTGCTGGGCCTCTCTTGCAACACAAGCAGGACGGGGTCAGGGTCCCTGTGTGAGTACATCAGCCACACAGCACAAAACCTGTCCTGTCCCATTGCCAGCACCACCTTGTCCCCACTCTACACTCCCAGCAGCGCCCTGTGGGTGAGCCAGGAGGTATCACAGGATGTGTCAGGCGGCAGATAAGCAGATTTGATTTTCATGACAAAGCACAACACCTCTGCTAGAAAGGGGCACAGAAGAAAGATCATGGCCCTTCCAAGAGTGCCCTCCCCTCCTCCCTAGCCAGCGACCCAAACAGGAGCAAACCCTCACAGAGGTGATGATCACACCCCGGCAGGCCCGGTTGTTCTCCAGCTTCTCCAGGCCTATGGAAAACTCTGTGAGGAACTCCAGGCTGAGGCTGTTGACTGGGGGACTCTTGAACTTCATCATGGCAACACCTGTGCAGGGTAAGCACAGCAACGTCAGACATCTCCCCACAGCAGTTCACACTGCCCTGCTTCCCTCACCAAACTGTCTTCCCACTCCCACTCAACAGCACTCCTGGCTGTTTAACAGTTTCCAGAGCAGCAGAGCCAAGAGCAAGGTCCTGTCTTTGCCCAGACCCACCCACAGCCAGGGTCACTCAGCGGGTGGTGGACTGGAGCACAGGCCAGGCCCTGTGTGGTGGCCCCCTGTGTGTCCCAAAGCCCAGCCACCTTCTGGGTCACAGTGCCCAGCAGTTCCCTTCTCTCTGGGCTCGGTGGGGAAGGTCGAGCCCGCAGCCTCTGTCAGCAAACAGCCTGTGTGCAGGGGGTCACACACCTGCTGTGAGCCTGTCAGCACCACGGGAAGGGCTCTGCACCCTTGTTCCTGCCCACACTGCACTACCCTTCCCAAAGGGCTCTCCCCGAGTGCTTATCCTGGGTGCTGCAGCTGTGCCCAGCTGGGAACAGCACGAGGACACACCAGGCACCTGAAAGCAGGACCTGGGAAGCCACAGGAAGAGGCCTGGGTGCCTTTGTTCAGTGCAGGGACATGGGCACGTGACAGCTGTTCCTGGTAGCCAGGTCACAGCAATTCCCAACAGCTCTTCCCTGATGGAGCCCTGCCACGTTACCAGGTGCCCAAACCAGGGACCCCCAGAGAGGGGACAATGCACAGGCAGGGACAATGACAGCCAGGATTTGTCTGTAGCACCAACCAGTGCCCAAAACTGGTGAGACTCCCAAGCCCAAACACTTCTCCCTGAGCCTCCAAAGCAGCTGCAGCTCCAACGCCTGGGGCTTTGGTGACTTTCCATGCCCAGAGCCACACACACAGGGGACAGGGGCAGAGGGGACCCTGCCTGTGCCCCACAGTGCCCGTGGGTTGAGGGTGACACCGCAGAGGTGCCACCGCCGTACCTGAGCTCTCGTCCAGCTCCACCTGGATCCTGTTGTTGCTGAAGGGACGGCACGGGGCCAGCGGGAGGCCTGGGGGCTGCGGGGGGCTGGGGGCCGGCCGGGGGGCCCTGTCCCACGCTGGGAGGCGGCAGCACAGGGGCAGCACACCTGCGGGACACAGACAGGTGAGGACGGGAAGAGCACAGCCCCCACAGGCGTGGGGTGCGCTCCCCAAAACCGCTGTGCGCGGACACGGCGGGACACGGGGACACCCCGACCCGCTCAGGGAGGAAACAGGGACACCCCAACCCGCGGCAGGGGGACACGTGGAACACGCTGACGGTAAGGGACGGGCACAGAGAGGCAGCGGGGCTCGGGGACACGCCGAGCCCGGCGCAGGGAGCGGTCGGGGCAGGGTCCGGGCACACCTGAGCCGCCGATGCGGCGGGCGAGGGTCGCGGCCGCCATCTTGTGCCGGGCTCAAGGGTACGGGGCGGGGCCCAGGGGAGGGCGGGGCCCCGCTGCTCCGCGTTTAGGCCACGCCCACTCCCAGCGCTCCGCCCACCTGGGCACTGCTGCGCGCACGTGCTGCCCCCTGGTGGCGGCCCTGCCGCACCGCCCTCCACTGCCCGCTCCGTGCGACCTGTCTGTCTGTCTGTCTGTCCTGTCCGTCTGTCTGTCCTGCCTGCACTGCCGGCACTGCCCGCTCCGTGCGACCTGTCCTGTCTGTCTGTCTGTCCTGTCCGCACTGCCGGCACTGCCGGCTCCGTGCGACCTGTCCTGTCTGTTGTCTGTCCTGTCCGTCTGTCCTGCCCTGTCTGTCCTGCCGGCACTGCCCGCTCCGTGCGACCTGTCTGTCTGTCCTGTCTGTCTGTCCTGCCGGCACTGACTGCTCCGTGCGACCTGTCCTGTCTGTCTGTCCATCCTGTCCTGTTTGTCCCGTCCTGTCTGTCCTGTTCTGTCTGTCCTGCCGGCACTGCCTGCTCCGTGCGACCTGTCCTGTCTGTCTGTCTGTCCGTCCTGTCCTGTTTGTCCTGTCCTGTCTGTCCTGTTCTGTCTGTCCTGCCGGCACTGTCGGCTCCGTGCGACCTGTCCTGTCTGTCTGTCTGTCCTGTCTGCACTGCCGGCACTGCCGGCTCCGTGCGACCTGTCCTGTCTGTTGTCTGTCCTGTCCGTCTGTCCTGCCCTGTCTGTCCTGCCGGCACTGCCCGCTCCGTGCGACCTGTCCTGTCTGCTCTGCCCTGTCCTGCCCTGCCCTGGCTGTCCTGACCTGCCCTCCCCTGTCCTGTCCTTCCCTGTCTGACCGCTCCATCCGACCTGCCCTGTCCTGCCCTGTTCTGTTCTGTCCTGACCGTCTCCCCTGTCCTGTCCTTCCCTGTCTGACCGCTCCATCCGACCTGCCCTGTCCTGTCCTGTTCTGTCCTGACCGTCTCCCCTGTCCTGTCCTGTCCTGCCGGCACTGACCACTCCGTCCCACCTGCCCCGCATCCATCCGTGTTCCCGGGATCCCCCCACCCCTTTCCCACCTCCCAGCCGAATGGCCCCGGCCCGGCCCCGCCGCGGGACGCGGAGCCCGGGGGCTCGGGGCCAGCCGCCCCCGCAGAGCCTGGCCCGGGGCCTCGGCGCTGGGAGCCCCGGGGCTGCGCCGTGCCAGCGGCGGCTGCGGATCCCATCAGCGGTGGAGGCCGCCCGGGGGGACAGCACGGGGGCAGGGCCGGCCTTGCCGTGCGGGCAGAAAGCGTCGGGCAGCGGGATGGCGGGCATGGCGCTGTCCCTCTGCCTGGTCCTCGCAGCCGCCCTGCAGGGCGGCCTGACCCGGGCATCGGGGCCCCCGGCCCGCCCCGGGCCGCTGCTCCTGCGGCTGCGGCGCCTGGAGGAGCAGGTGGGTGCCCGGGCAGGGAGGGGGTGCTGCCCAGCCTGTGCCAGGGACACCCGGCATTTTGGGTGGGGACTCGGCACGGGTGGGTTCTCCCCACTCCATCCCACTCCCTTGCAGTTTCTCCGGCTCCAGGAGGTGACACTGAACCATCTCCAGAGCATCGCCAGCAACTACAACATCTCCTACAACATCGACGGGCGTTTCCAGGCGCTGGCGGAGCAGGCGGAGGCGGCCGACGCTGCCCGGGCCGCCCTGGCTGCGGAGCTGGCCCGCCTGGCCGCTGCCGGCCGGCGGCTGCGGCGCAGGCTGAAGCGGCTGGAGGGGACGGTGGGTGCCCTGAGCCCACAGCCCCTGCTCACCCACCCTTCGGCCGCACCGGCGGAGGCTGGCACCGCAGCGCCCGGTGTGGCAGACGCCGCCCGCAGCCGGGGCAGGCAGCTGGAGCGGCAGAAGGGTGCCCGCAGCACCCCCGGGCCCCGGCAGCACGAAGGGCTCTGGCTGCCGGCTGCTGCCGGGCCTGGCGGGGCACCCGGGGGGGATGAGGAGAGCCCTCGGGATGCGGCACCAGCACCCCAGGTCGCGGCAGCGGCGCTGCCCACCGTAACCACGGCTCGCCAGGAGCAGCCCCCGGCCCCCCGGCAGCCGGGAGAGGCCAGGCACGGCCCCCCCGTGCCCCAATCCCCCGCCTGTCGCACCGGTGCCGTGCTGCTCTTCCCCAACGCCTCCGGCGAGCACGGGGCCGTCCTGGCGCTGGGGCCGCAGCGCGGGCTGCGGGCGGTGTCACTCTGTGCCTGGCTGGCCACCCCCGCCCCTCGCCTCGGCGCTCTCCTCTCCTACGCCCCCGAGGGCGGGCGCAGCGAGCTGGCCGTGCTCGGCCGCGGCCGGGATCGGCCTGGCTCGGCACGCTTCACCCTGGGGCACGGGCAGTTTCGGGAGCTGCCGGTGGCGCCGCTCCTGGACGGCAAATGGCACCACCTGTGCCTCACCTGGTGCTCCGGCCAGGGCCGGTACCGCTTCTACGTGGACAGGAGGCTGCTGGCTGCCGGCTCCGGCTTCCAGCAGGGCTATGGAATCCCCGCTGCTGGCTCGCTGGTGCTGGGCCGGGGGCAGGACGGCCCCAACACGGACCTGAGCGCTGGAGAAGATTTTGTGGGTCACCTGGCTGGCTTCGCTCTCTGGAGACGGGCTCTCCTGCCCGGGGAGGTGGCCAGAATGGCGAGCGGGCGGGGGCTGCCCCGAGGCCCCCTCCTCACGCTGGCCGGTGCCTCCTTGCGGGGCGGGGTGCGGAGCGTGGCGTGTCCCTGCCTCCAGCGCTGCCTCGGACGGGGCTGACAGCGGTCACGGCTGGCTCACGGAGCCGCTCCCGGCCCGAGCTGGATGCTCCCGGGGTGATGGCACACCCAGCACGGAGGGCGTCTCGGGAGCGGCACCACCGAGGGGGAAAGGGGTCTTGGCAGCCAGAGGTGGGACCAAAGCCAGAGGTCGCCTGCTCCTAGAGGATGTACAGCCCTGGTTCCTATTAAAATGCTCCCAGCGTTGGAGAAACCCAGTTTATCTCGGTCCTGCTCATTCACTGCAGTGCTCACAGCCGGCCAGGGGCCGCTCAGCGCGGGCAGCGGGAGTGGGTGGCACTGCTCGTTCCCTGCGCAGAGTCAGAGCAGGGGAAGCGGGGCACGGGACAGCCCGTGGCCGGGGTGAGCCGGAGCCGGTGCCGAGCGCTGCCCCTGCCCGCGGGGCCCCTCGGCGGGGCAGGGCTTTGGCCCGAGCTGCGCTGCTCCGTCAGGCGAAGCACACTCTCTCCCGAACGTCTGCTCTGCGGAGTTCTGTGCCGGGAGAGCTGGAGCAGCGTCGGCTCCGGCCGTTCCCGGAGCCCCGCGTTCCCGGGGGCGGTGGGGCCGTGCTGCCGGCTGGGGCAGAGCCTCGCAACCTCTCGGGCCGCCGCCACCGGGGTTCTGCTCATTCCATTCCGTTCCGTTCCGCTCCGGGAAGCGGTGCCCCCGCCGGAACTACAACTCCCATGGAGCCCCGGGGCGCCGCGGCCGCCCCGGCGGGCACGTGAGGCGGCGCGGCGGTCACATGAGCGCGCGGCGGGGCAGGCCCGGCGCAGCCGCCGCCGCCGCCCCGCATGGCCAACGTCGCCAAGAAGGTGTCCTGGTCCGGCCGCGACCGCGACGACGACGACGAGGACGGGCGTGCGGGCGAAACCACCCCGCTGCTGAACGGTACCGGCCCGGGTGCGGCGGGCAGCGGCCGGCAGGTGGGTCCCGCCCCGGGAGCGGGGGCTCCGCGGGGGAGGGAGCACGGAGCGGGCCGGGGCCGGGGCTCCGCTCCCTCTCTCCCCGGTCGTGTTTAACCGCGCTCGCTGCCCGGGGCTGGGCGGGGGCGGCCGGGGTCGCTCGGGGCTGGGAAAGCAGAGCCTGCCGGGGCGCGGGGCAGCCACGGCCGGGGGCAGCCACGGCCGGGCACTCGTGAGGGAAAATCTGAGCTGGGGCTGAGTCAGCGCCCAGCCGGCTCCAGCCCCGCTCCGCTCCTGCAGCGGGACTTGCGCTCAGCAGGGCCGGGTTCCCGCCCGCTGGGGCTGCGCTCCTCGTTCGGGGAATCACGGCGTGCCTTGGGGTAGAAAAGGCCTCAGAGCTCATCCTGTTCTACCCCGGCCGTGGCAGGGACTCCTCCATCACCCCAGGCTGCTCCAAGCCCTGTCCAGCCTGGCTTTGGACACTTGCAGGGCTAGCACAGCCACAGCTGTGCCACAGCCTGCCCACCCTCGTGTCCTACTGACATCTCATCTAGTCCCCTTCTGTTTAGTTTGAAGCCATTCCCCCTGTTCTGTCTGCGTCTGTACATGTAAAACTAATCTGTGCTAAATGAAATTCTGCTAAAAATGTCTTTCTGTGAGAGCCTGTTGCCTGAGGTGCTGCTGATCACCAGCTGGGGCTCAGACAGGAGAGCCTCTAACACTGCAGGGGTGCAGGGTGTCCTGTGGGATGGATGGAGCTCCAAGGTGGGCCATGGCACAGAGGGAGGCCAGTTCCCTCTGGCAAGTTAATTTGGCTGATTAAGTGAGGAGAACTTCTGTCCAGTGTGCCTCCAGGCCGCCTGCCTGGTGGTCTCTCCCCCTCATGCAGCTCAGGGAAGAAAGTGAGGCACTCAGCACCTGTCCAGGGTGAAGCTGAGGTGTGGGGGGCAGTCAGGCTGGGACCGTGGAGCACTTTTGTGCCAGCACCAGGTGGGACAGGCATTGCTTCCAGGTGGCATCTGGGATTTCCTGTGGAGGGTTTTCTGGGAGACCTGAGCTTAGCCAGGGAGGAGCAGTGCCAGATTCTGGCAGCTGTTAGCAGGGATGCCTGGCCCAGCACGATTCTGTGCTGCCCTGCTCCTGGGCAAGTCAGAACAGCAGGCTAATTAGAGGGAAATGCAGGGCTCGTTAGGCTGGAAGAGCCTTGTGTGGTGCTCTGGGAGCAGGGAATGGAAGCTGTGCCATGGCAGCTGCTCTGGGGTGAAAATAAAAGTAATCCTGCTGGGCAGTGCCACAGGACCCTGTATATTTACAGCACAAAGGGAGTTCTGGGGGTTTTGAAGGGTGTTAGGGAAGGGATTAACCAGATCTCATGGCTGGGGGTCATTAGGAAAGGCTTTTCCTGGCGGTTTGGAAGAAGTGCCTGAGGCCTGCTGCAGCAGGGGCAGTTGGAGGTGGGCACCCAGCCCCACCAATGTGATTTGTTGTCACTGTGTCCCTGCACAGTGCAGGCAGCTCAGCTCCAGCTGGTGCCATGGCTCTGCGTGGCATTTCCCTTGGCAAGGAGCAGAGGGGTACCTTGCTGGGGCTGCAGAGCACACGTGCCCCTGGCAGTGGCAGCTGGGCTGTCTCTGTAGGGCTGGGGCTGTATTTTGGGGTCGGGCAGCTGCCTCTCCCTTTGCCCCAGATGATTTTCAGTTGTGTGGATTGAAGCAGGAAAGCAGGACAGCTTTGGGAGAGAGATAAAGAGAGGCTGGAGCTGCTTAGCTCAGGGGGAGATTTAAACCTGGGCTGTGGTAATACAGTAAAAATGTCCCCTAACATCACCCGTTCCCTTTGTCACGTGCTTGTTAAATGGAAATGAAAGTGATCTTAAGGTGACCAGAGGAAACAGGGGTCTGCAGCTCCCCAGCTGAGAGGGACTGAGATGAGTTCTGGTGGGCAGGGGGTGAGGAGAGGCTGGATAAACACACCTGGGGCTGTGGGAGGCCTGTCCCTGAGGTCTGCTCTGCTCTGGGGCCAGCTGAGCCTTCATCCTCTCACCAGGGCTTTCTGGTGCCTGCAGCACATCAAGGAGTGAAGGCAGCCTGTGTCTCTGAGCATCATGCCTGCTGGGGGCTGTCTCTCTCCTGAGCCACGTGTGTTGCTTCTCAGGCTGGGAAGTGGGTGGAAAATTTTAGTGAGAGCAGCCAATTTCCATCATGAACCATTTTTTGTGGAAGAACGTTTCTCCTTCACTACCATCAAAGATATTTGTGCTGAAGTGCCTTGACCTTGGGATTAGTTTAATGCTCCTGCTTCAAAGGGTGCCTGCAGCAAGGGGTCACCACCATGAAGACAAGGCTGATGTTGGGCAGCTTGTCCTTCTTAGCCCCTGTGTGTTTATTGTGCATCTCTGGACGTTGCTGGTCTCATTTTCTTTAATCTCAAGTAACAAGGTGCACAAAAGTGGCCAGGCTGCAATCAAGAAATCTTGGTGGGAGGAGGCAGAAAAAGGGAAGTACGAGCGCTGGGTGAGCCCTGATTCCTGGCAGATGGGCTGCAGATTGCACACCCCAGGTTACTGTCAGAGGCTGCTTGTCCCTGCCCTGGAGAGCCACTGCCCTGAGTGGTGGCAGGAGCCTCCCCCAGCACAGGAACTTCAGGAAGTTTTCTGCAGCTTGCTCAAGCCATCGGGGACTGGCAGTGCCTCATCCTTGTGCTGCTCCTGTGCCAAGGGAAAGGCCAGGGCAATGCCAGCATTTCCCATGCTCGTGGAGGTGAGGGTCAAGCAGCAGCTGTGCCCTGGCAGTGGCAGCAGGAGCCTGGAAGCAAAAGCCAAGTGGTGACACCTTGGGGAGAGTCCTGGTGCTTTCTCCTCTGTTGTGAGCTGGAGGTGAGGAGCCCTCTATCCTGCTGTGAGGCGTTTTGGGGATGATGCTGGGTGGGTTTGGAGCCTGCCTCAGCTGTGGCTGTGTGTGCAGGAGGGGGTTTCAAAAGCCCTGCAGCTCATCTGCCCCGTTCGCTGCTGGAGCCTGTGACCGGGTTCTCGTGCTGGTGACACACTGGTGACACAGCCTGGAGTCTTCCACCCAGGCTGGTGCCAGGGGCAGAGTGTTCTGCAGCCAAGAGGGCCCTGGGAGCTGGAAATCCTCCTCCTTCCCTCCCACAGCTTCTGTGGGCTCCTTCTGTGGTCTGTGCTGGGCTTTAGCTCATCGAGAACAGAAAGTCACGTGCTGCCAGTTCGTCACTGAGCACAGGATGGGGACAAGGGACAGTGTCTAGGGGGCTCTCCTCATGCTGGGTCATGTCCTGCAGGGAGGAGCCCGGCTCATCCCTGTGGAGCAAAGGCAGACACTCCCTGCTGATGGTTCTCCATCAGTGTTTGGGGGGCACAGCTTGGTTGCTGTGCACACAGCCTGGGCTGGATGGTGGGGCTCTCACAGCCTGGGCATGACTGGAAGATGGTGGTTGAGATCTTCTGCTGGATTTTTTTCATGTTGAGGTTGCTCCCCAATTTGCTCTTGCTGGTCTCAGAGTGGGTGCCAGCATAACAAAGGGGAAAGAGACCTCAGGATTCCTAGAGCTAGGAGCTTCAGTCCAGCCCCTGCTCAGAGCAGATCCCTGAGGGACACATCCACAGAGCTTTGGGTCACCACTCTGCACCCTATTTGGTCCCAAGTTCAGTGTCACCAGCCACAGGGTGAACGTTTGGCTCTGATACCTAAGCAGTTTACCCACTGCTCCTTGTCCCATCAATGCAAAGCTTCAAGGGAAGTCTGGCTTTGTCCTGTCTGTAGCCCCTTGTTGGGTGTCTGGAGATGGCATGAAGAACTCCCTGAGAAGCACCAGCTTCTCTTGTATATCTTGCCATGTGCTCCAGCCCCTAACTCTCTTGCTGAGTTTGCTTTCTGTGCCTTTTCTGTCCCAGGAAGCCCAAACTGGATGCCAGGTCCTGGGTGTGCTATTGCAGGTGCCAGGTGGAGCTGTGGGATCCCTTCCCCAGATCTTCTGGCAGTGGTCTGGCACCACCCAGGAGGGGTTGACCACCTTCCCTCCAGGTCTGCAATGACACCTCTTCACTCACCCACCAGGTCACTGCAAGACTTTTTCAGCCGAGCTACTTTCTGACCATTGGGACTCCTCCATCCAGGTGCAGGGCTTTGTATTTGCCTCTGTTGCATCTGGGGGCTTCCCTGCAGCCTGGTGTGAGGTCCCTTGGAGGGGCAGCCAACGTTCCTGCCCACTAACACTGGTGAGAACTTACTTTGATTCAGACCAAGGCTCCAGATATCTCTTTGCAGAGCTCAGGATGAAATTAACTTTACCACCCCAATGGGCTGAGGGCTCATGTGCCACTGGCAGAGTGAGGCTCAGCGTGTCCCAGAGCCTCTCCTGGGGCAGGAGAGCTGTTAACCCATCTGTGCCCTCTGGGTTTTGGCAGCAGTGCATGTTTTTATGTGGGGATAATCACAGCACAGTCACACCAACATCACACGTACCCAGGATCAGCAGCTGCCTTGGCTGAGTCTGAAACATCCCAAGGAGGGCTTGGGATGAGTCTTTGAGCTCAGTGAGTCTTTGAGCTGTGCACAAATAACCTTTTCTCTTGGCTCCAGGCTGCCTGAATCTCTTTTTTTCTCTTATCCTTCTTGGGTGCTGCTGGAAGTAGCTCTTTCCTGTCCTCCTGGCATGTGATCCCTGTGGTGGTGAGACAGGAGCCAGGCCTCTGCTTGCAGATGCCACAGA